TACCATTTCCCTTTGTGCGGGTATGGCTTAAAAGCTCTCTGTGCTATAAATGCCTTGAATCTTTGAGAGTTTAGTGCCAAAACACCTCTCAGGGTCTTGGTGAATGTGCCCAATGCTTGCTAGGACAGAGCCCAGCAGATAAATGGAACAAGAATATGTTGCTGCAGGGAAACAGCACTAAGCTAGTTCACAGCTTCTTTCAGACACCACTAAATAATATCATGGGGACAAAAATTAGCTACTTTTAGTGTGGGTACCTGAAAATTTGAATTTTTAGCCGTGCTTAGCATCAGTGACTCATGGGTAAGGTCCCCTGGGGTTTCCCTGCTCTGTACCCTGCCCTGCCCTCCCTCTGCCAAGGGTTTGCATCCCCTGAGCACCTCACCTCCTGGCCATGGCTTTCTTAAGCAAACCAGGCACCATGGTTTGGAGGAGCTTCTGGAACCATTCTACCATGGAGCTAATACCTTCCAGCAGCCCCCACAGCTTCTCCAGCCTGCAAAACCAAAATAAACAGGCTGAGTTTAATGACTGGTAAATGCAGTAAAAGCAGGGGGGTGCTAATGGTGAATGCCCATGGTAATACTCTTTCGTAACCGAGCAATCCCCTGGTGTTCCTGCTAGCCGTGCCCGCTCTCCCCGAGAGCTTGCCTTCAGGGAATACAAATCCCCCTGTGGAGGAAGGGAATGGCACTAAGCCTATTTATGCAGTAGATGTGCAGCAGCTTGCCCTGGTCCATAGAAAAGGAGGGACCCGCCGCCAGCCCACGCTGCCCCAGCGGCTCCCTCTGCGTTTCCCACAGAGCTGCTGTCTGAAGGATGCTACAGCCCCCGGCACAACCCAACGCTGGGCTTGCAGGGACACCTGCATGCCTCCTGCTAAGCTCGTACCGTGTCCCTCCAGCTGTCTCGCCACTGCTGAAGGCGCAACCACTGGTTTCTGTATCACGCTCAGCTTTGATGCCTCTATCAAGATGTTCTTACCCCTTCCTGACAAGAGCTGGCAGCCTGTATGGCTGCAACAGGACCTTTGACAGTGGATTCTGCAGTCCAGTCACCGGCTCCTTCCTCCACAGAGCCAAGCCTGGGCCCATGAATGACAACACAGAAGTAAATAAAGACCAGTAATTAGAAATAACCCAATAAATGCAATAATTCCCTTTGTCTAGCAACTCTTGCTGCGGCTCAGCCTGTAGGTACGGAAGCCCAGGCCAGAATCCAGCCTGAGCCACTCTTACAAAGCCTCTTTGCAAAGACCTCCTGCAGATCTAGGAATATTTACCATAATAAATATAATACTACTTTTCTCAAAGACTTTAGCAGCTCTCAGTGGTCCCAGCCACCCCCAAACCCAAGATCAGTACCCCAAATCCTCTACCTGGCAGGAAGCAAGGAGTCAGGCGCTGCGGTGCCCTTTTGCATAGGCCAGTGCTTCTCCCGTTGGAGTGTGAAAAGTCATTTTTCCCACACATGCTGGCGAAGCGGAAATTGCCGTCAAAGTAGTTGAACCCAAAGGCATCTGCAAGACATGGAAAGAAAGGGCTGATGTTTGCATGTGCATCACATTTCTCAGCTGCATGTCAGGTCTTGGGGTAACACTTAACTGTTCCTGTACAGGAAAAGGGCAGTGTCCTGGTACCCTTGGGAGAAAATGTCATTCAACACCTGCAAGGAGAAACACCTGATGTCACTAAAGAGCCCTCCATCCAGGCACTGGCAGGATCTAGCCGAGGCTGTTTGACTGTGGAGGGTTGGGGTGGCCCATTTGGGAAGGCTACAAGCACAGGTTGGTTTCCAAACCCCAAAGCGCCGATCCTTCGCAGATTGTCAAACCAGGGTGGACCCCATCCCAGATTCGGCCACTCATCAGCAGTGCCCACCAAAAAAAACCCACTGCAAAAGCGGTGGGCAATGCCCCCTTGCCTTGAAATCTGATTAATTAATGATGAAGATAGAGCTGCACCTTAACGCTGGGAGGGCAGATCCAGCATTAATTTGTTTTAACCAAAACAAAGCTGGGAAGAAGACCTGGTGTGCTTACCATGGTGCTAGGTGGAAAGAGAGCATAGCTAATCCTGCAGAGGTTTTCTATCGAGATCTGAATGCTGCCGTTGAAGATCTGGTAACAGAAGAAGGTGGCGGGGCAATCCCGTGGACAGATATCGAGCTCTCCCGTGAACGGGGACACAGTGATCACGGCTTCCTCCAAGCTGGAAACGGGCTGGAGGCCGGTGAATCCTCCATCAACGTATCGCTGAGGGCGAAGAGCAGAGGGAGAGTTTGCCTTGAGGACTCGTTACAGCGTCTCGGAGAGGAAGGCAAGAAGCCGCAAAGGCAACATCTCCTGCCGTGAACCAGTTCATGCATGTCCTCTCTTCCCACCCCTTGCTCTTTATCCTGGCCTTTGCCAGCTCCTTCTGCTGCCCTGCCCACGGCACCCAGCCAGCTCCTCAACCAGGTGCTGTAATCCACAGCAGTTATTAAAATAGGAATATAATTATTTTAATTCACAAAGCCTTACAAAGTTGTGTAAAGCAGTCATTAGCCAATTCAAACATCAAACTGAATTTACAGCATCGGATAAATTTCAAGTCCTGAGCTCAAGCAGTAGGGCTCCCGCATTTAATAACTGCCTGCAAATCCCTGGAGGATTATTCACTGGGCAAGGAAACTGTCACTTGCTGTATTCCAAAACGAATCTGAATTTACCACCCACCTCAGTGGGATCTGAGGTTGCAAGGACTGCAGCTGATCGAATTAAATGCCCGTGAAATAACAGTGCAGAGGAGCTTCATGCAGCAACACTGCTGAGCTCGGGGTCGTGCAAACTTCATGAGCTTTGTGGGCAAGCCCTGCAGTCTGGGGTAAGCTGGAGATCTGACCTGCCAGCCAGGCACAGGCATCTGAGGACTAAATAGGCTCAATCAGTGCAGCCCAACAAGAGTCAAAGAAAGGTCCTGGCTCTGCACCAGCTGCAAATGTGGTATCGGAGCTTTGTGGGCTTTGACACACCAGCAGGTCACGGTGCATCGCCTGCTCCGCGCTCCATCTGCACACGCTTCCCCACCACGCTGCTGTGCTCCTCCTTCACCGGGGGTTAGCCACAAGCCAGCCCAAATTTGTGGACTTTACCATGGTGTTTTGCAGAATATGAGTGTGCACATGGATCCTCCCATGAACTTTTGGTATTTTAGCCATGCAAGTGTGCACCTGAGCTAAGGGAATCATCTGCGCTGCAGACAGATCCTGCCCAGGATAACTGGGTTGTGTGTCAAAGTCCTGAGTGTGGGCATCCCCTCATCTCACTTTGGTGATCTTCAAGGCAAGATTTAATCATCCAGGCTCTGTAGGCAAAGCAGGAGAGGGCTCTCTGGATGGAAATTCCACCCAGCTACTATCTTCAGATGGGGTGAAGAACAAGCTAAAAGGCTTTATCATCCTCCATTAACTAAAGCAGAAGCCTAGACATATCTATCCCTCTCTGCCCAAAGGAATGTAAAGTTCAAACCCAAGAACGTACTGCCGGGAGTATATATTTTGTTGGAAATAACACTCACCACACCTCGGTAGGATGGAGGGATGAATCCACAGTAGATGGGAAGAAAGCAGCTGCAGAGAAGAGCCTGGGGGAGGAGAGGGATTGCAGAAGTAAGTGTTCCTGTCAAAGTTCTCCTGGACAAAAGCTGTTGACTGGGTGCCTGCAAATTCAGCCTTGACAAATCGTCTGGAGCCAGGCTGCCAGTACCACCTGGACTTTGCACTCGACTGTGTCAAGAAGAAAGATTTCAAGAAGGGGGAAACTTTTCAATAAAGTTGAAACACTTCTCCTGAGAAGGGCATAGCACCTCATTTTTTATTTTTATACCTGCCAGCAATATTAGAGTTGTGTATCTATATATCACTGTCTAAACTGCCCTTTGATGGTAGCAAGGTGAAGCTTTGGCTTCATTTTTCATATTTGTGGATTTTTGGACAAAACCAAGACATCGTCCCAATGCATTTTCATTCTGCTGAGTTTTGTCAAGGATAAAGCCACTGCTGGGCCATTTGCAACCATTTTCCACCAATCTCATCAGCTGAGAATGAACATCCAGGCTCCTGGGTTGACCTCGGGCTGACACCACGGGGTGAACTCCAACATCTCCATGGACTTGCCATCCTCTGCTGTCTCCCTGGGACAAACCCACGACCTTATGGGCAACTCTATTAGGGTTTTACCCTGGGATTCTTTTCCCAGCAGTTTACTGGTTAATCAGCTGCTTGTTGTTTGGCAGCACAGACACTTTGTCCAGGTCTTTCCCCCCAGGAAAGTTCTGAAGCAATGAGGAAAATTACTGCCGGTGGGACTTGGCAGAGGACAGACCTGTCCAGAAAGCTGAGAGGTCATGTTAGCGTTAACACAGCTCTCTGCAAAGAGCCATTAGCACTTATCAGAGCTGGGCAACATGTCAGCATCTGCTTTTTGAGGCTGGAAACAAACCTGCTGCTTTTTTAGCATGATTTATTCCTGCCTGACTCTGGACTTAACATCTGTGGTTAAAGTCATCAGGGCTTCGGTACCTCCATCCCAAGCAGTAGGTGGAGATCTTCCTACAGCATCAGAGGAAGGTCCCTTTACCTGGATGAGCTCCTCTTTCGAGCTGAACTCAGAGGCTATGACATTTTGGCCGTCCACCACCCGCGTGAGCGAGATGTGCAGCCGCCCCGAAGCCAGCTGGTAGGAGTCCTCTGGTAGCGTCCGCTGCAGAATAGTCTTGATGTTCGCCAGCAAGCTGCACTTGGGAGAGAGAGGGCCCAGGAGGGTTTTCCTGACTTCCTTTGCCATGGCAAAGAAAGATTCCTTTACTTCATCTGACAGAGAGGGGGGGTGAAGACAGAGAGAAAGTCAGTATTGCTGCTGCCCTAAGAGTTAGATTTTTAATCCTATTTTTAACACTCCCCAGCATGTGTACAACCCCGGGATGATACCGCTGCTCTAACGGGGGATGTGGTGGCAGGGCAGAAAAGGGGAAATCACCCCCAGGGTGTCCTCAGAGAACAATGTATTGCTGAGCATGGCCCCACTGGTGAAATCCCTGTCTGTACCGGTGACCGGGGCTCAGGATGTGCCTGGCCCAGGGTTAGGGAAAGGCTGCAAAGAGCCCCGGGAAGGGGTTATCGGGGAGTTACACTGAGGTAGCGGTGCCAGTGGGACTTGCACAATATGTTCCTGCCTTCCACCGCTGATTTTGCATGTGGGCCACCCCAGGCTTCACAGGGGAGCTGGGATGGCTCAAAGGTGAGGACAAGGGGCAAACCCCCACCTCCTCTGCTTAGGGCTTTCCTGCAAGCTGAGCTCCACCATCCTGGGACTCCCTGCTCCCCTGAGCTTCCCCAGTGACCCCCCAGCTGGTGTTAATAGTCATTACATGCACCTGCACGTCCCAAAAACTGGATTAAAGGAGCAGAACTGCAGAGCCCCAGCTGAGGGCTCAGGAGACACTAGGTTTTAAAGGCTGTGCTGGGATGGGAGAGAAGAGGGGTGCAGCAAGCTCCACAGTCAGCCTGACCCCGGGGTCAGAGCGTGGCCCTTTTGCTGAAATGGGCAGTTAGCTTGGGGGAATACCCCACCCTGGGCAGTTAAACTCTTGCAGGAAAACAACTTATTCAGCTCCCTGGTGCTGCAAAGCACCATCTTTGCACCCAGGTGGGGTCCCAGCCTTGCATCAGCGCAAATCTGTGGGTTTGCTTTAGCACCATGGCTTTGTAGGGGCAAAGATTTCAAGGTTGCCCTGTGAAATTGCTTTACAAGCACGGACAGACAGATGGTTTAGGTGGAGTGTTCCGAAGGCAACTGGAACAACACAGCTACTAAGAGGAGTTCTAAATGTTTGAGTGGAGGTTCAGGCCGTGTGATGTGATGGTTAATGCCTGGTGGGCTCATGCAGAATCCTCAGGGATGCTGAAAGAGCCAGAGATACCCCAGGCAGGTGATGCGTCTGCCAGGCACTGTCTGACTGCTCTGTGTCCTGGAAATGGGAGAAAGCCTGGGAAAACCACCCGTGAGCTGCCGGGTAGGAGGCGAGAGCAGACTCCAGCTTTGAGGGCTTTGACTCTGAACATGTCTTTGACTTGGGATGAGCGAGGGATGGTTCTGGCATGCAATCCTGGTGACAAGCATGTGCCCAGGAGGTGACCTGTGGGGCGGCAGAGGACAGCCTGGCTCAGAGAGCTTCTCACCCAGGGCAGGGCAGGGGCAGGGTACACGACTGCAGCCACCCCATGGGACACCCCATCAGGAGCCAAGCACACCTTTAACCCTCTTTTTGCCCCAATCCTCCCTAGTGTGAATTTGTGACCAGGTTTGTGCCACATTCATTTTCCTTATGAGAAACCCAACAAGAGTCATCACTACACAAAATGTCTTACTCTGGGCAAGATGTTCTGGGCACAAGATCATCTCAGCACCTCTAAGTGGATGGTGCCTACCACCCCCAGCAAAGCAGACCCCCATTTCAGCACTGGTGTCCACAGCAAGATCTGTTACCAAACTGACAGATACCAGCTCCGTCCAATTATACCAGCATGAGGAATCGGAGTGGAAAACTTTGGGGCTCTTGCTGATTTGTAGAGGAGTTCATTCCCATATGGGTAGAAAGATTCCTTTCTGCTTTGTCTAAATGTATTTGCCAAAGTGTTGAATTGTTTTTAGCCCCAGCAGAGTGGTTGTAGCATCCACCAGAGGTTTCAGGAATTGCGTGTTTCCTCCCTGCTTCCTCCATCATTATTTGGACCCTAAAACCCCTGCTCCTCCTAAATGTCCCCATTGCTTGAACCAGGGCTTGGATCAGCCTTTGAAGATTAAGTCTTGTGTACAGTTGTTTACACATAAACACTAATTGGAAATATGGGAGGATGTGATTATTAAAAGTCGATTAACTGCTTTGAATTAATTCTACACATAGATAATCTTATGGCTAGAGGTTCATGTTTCCACACTGTCTAAAGAGGTTTGGAGTAAAACCTCTTCTGCAGCATTAAGAGAAAGCCCAGCCCTGGGCTGGAGCAGGGACTGCTATTGCCCCGGGTATGTCCTGCTGATGTGCCCTTGAGCTTTTTGCTGGGGCAAAAGGTGCTCTGCTGTCTGGGAACAGGAACCACACCACATCTTCCTTTGTGCTGGGAAGGTTGAGTGGGATAACCCAAAGTAACACGCAGACAGGGCTGTCAGCTCTATGGATACGTATGTGACTGCCGCTCGTGTCCCTTTGTAGCTAAGGATGACAAAGGGGCCTTACATGGGCATATCTGCCCACCGTGGCCACGTAGACTTGCTTCGGGACACCTCTCGGCACTCCTTAGACCTCACAGCAGAAGAGAAGGAGATCTGCTCCTTCAACAGGAGCAGGCATATGAGCCGGTGAAATACAGGTACATCCAGATTTACCTGTGCAGTATCTACATGACCATCTGAAATAATATTCAGGCAGTAATAACAGGCTTTTTCAGCTTACACCGCCCAAAATTGCTTCAGGGTGTCTGCCAAAGGTGGCAACATCCGCAGATTTCTTTGATGCCTTGTGAGTGATGTAAGTTACACCAGTATCGCATCCCCACTGGTGCTTTAAGGCATTAGCTCCTCTAGTTCTATTTTGAAATAAAAAAAGCTATAGTAAGGAAATCTAGGCAATATTTGTCTTACCGAGGCCGATGCCGCACACCACAGCGGCAGCGATGATCGAGCCGGCGGACGACCCATAGACCTTGCACGCAGACTTGAGGAGTTTGGGAGCCAGCTCCAGGAGGGACTGCACCACCCCAACCTGGTACAGGACGAGGAAGCCGCTTCCCGAAAAGGAGAGTGAGAAACGGGTGCTCGAACCCTGGAGATCCTCCTCGGCCATCTCAAGATCAAATTGGCGTATCTGGCTCAATGTCTCAAGTTGTCCTTTTTCACCAGAACCTCAGGCTCTCTTCTCTGCTTTCTCCAGGCTCATCTCTGGCTGCAGAGGAGTCCAGAAGATGGATCTTCTACCTCCTTTTATGACAGCTCCCCGAGGCGTTTAGATTCACGAGCTATTTTAATTGCTGCCTGTGCTAAAAACAGAATTTTTCCCCTGATCAAAACAGCTCTTGTAATCCTCGACCACAGCCAACTCACATGCTCAGTGCTGAATCAAGGCTCCCCTTTTGTATCAAGTGATCTGAAGTGTCCCAGGAGTGGATGGTCCCCGCATTACTGTGCCCGTCACACTTGGAAACATCCATGCAAAATTTCTTCTTTGCTTTATGCTTTCTTCATCAAGGGTGTTTTCATAAATAGGATTCTCTGTCAATCCCAGCTTAGGCACAGCTCAGTACTGAGTGAGTAAAGGCTTGTGTAAGGCACTTAAAGCCAGAGGGTGTTACACAAGGGGTGGATGCAGGGCGTTACATCAGGTTAGGTTTGGAAATACTGCTTGTATTTACTCCATATTGGAAGAGAGTTGTCCTTGCCTGGTTCTTGGATATCCTCGGGGCGGAGGGAGAAGGGAATAGGGAGCTGGATTTGCTTTTCTTTGCCCCCCATCTAGCACTGTGCTCTATAGGGCCCCAGAAAGATGCCCGCAGCACCACCGTGTTTCCCAAATCTGGGGTTACCTGAACCAAAATGGGGTTACCTGAACCAAAATCAAACTGCTCTATAGGGCCCCAGAAAGATGCCCGCAGCACCACCGTGTTTCCCAAATCTGGGGTTACCTGAACCAAAATCAAACTGCCTTTGGGCTGTCTTCATTGGCTGGGTGACAGTTAAAAAAATAGGGAAAAATTCAGTAGATATCTAGTGTCTTTTCAGCCTTAATAACCTAATGCTGCTGCCAACATGCAGAATAAAAAAATTGACATTTTAAATAGATGTATTTATTAAATATTGCTAAATAATGTGTTGCTTGTGTTGTCCAAATGCCTACAGCGTGCACACGATATCATGACTATTATTATACATGTGTTACCTTCGAGGTTGTACGTACATGCCTAACGTGATCACAGGTGTAGTAACAGAGAGGCTGACAGAGGGAGCTTCCATGCCCCGTGTTGGTGCACCGGTGCTCTGGGTTTGTGTGTGGTGGGGTTTGTGGCAGCAGGGGAGGGGTCTGCAGCAATGGCCCCTGTGAGAAACCTCTCGAAGCTCCCCCACTTCAAGTCAGACCCATCTCTGGCCAAGGCTGAGCCAATTAGCGATGGTGGCTGCACCTCGGCGATAACGTATTTCAGAAGGGGAATCTGGGAGGGGTTGGGACTGGTGAGGAGGAGTTACGAGAAGGACAAACACCGAGGGCAGTGACGGAAGGACGAGGAAGGGTGTGAGAGATGATTGGGGAGACAGGTCCTGAAAGAAACAGGCCTGCGAGAAATGAGGACTGAGAAAAACAGCCTGAGAAAGAGATAAAAGTCAGCAAGGGGGAGCTAAGTAGTGTCTCAAACATTCACAAGTGACGAAACTACACCCACGGGGTGGATGGTGTGGAGGTCGAAGCTGATCAGGCTGCCCCAATAACACAGGGTGCAGCTGGAAGGGGGAGGCCTGTGGGACAGGACGGCTCTGCTCTGGGGAACCTGGTCAAAATTCAAGGGCCATCTGTCCAGTGAATGACCTTTGCTTCATTATCCATGAAAAGCATATTAAAGTTAACACCCTGAATATGCTAACAAAGACTAACAAGATCATGCTAATTACATCAGCCCATGAAACCCCTTACCCCTCCCCAGACATGGGGTATGTGGGTCGACCTCGGGGACGGACCCAAGGAAAGCGGGTATGAATCTAGGGGGGGCAAAGGGGAGGGGAAGGCCTGGAGAGTGAAGTGAAGTGAAGAAGACAGATGCTCCTGGAACCCTCACTGGTGGGATCGACACAGGAACCCAGACCAGTGACCTCTATTCGTCTAGTCCCTTCATCTCCCTCCTTCCCCTTTTTCTTTTTTCCTTCACTACCACTAAGAAACACAAGGCACACTCTGTTGCTTGTCACAACTTGTTATATACTCAGCCAATTATATGTATCCAATTAGTATGTTGTGGGAAGTTAATAAATGTTTGGACTTTGAGACTTGCCTCACCGTTGTCCACTTGGTTGGGGATTTACGAATCTGAGTCACTTGTCTCCCTTGTCTGAGCGGGACATGACAAAGGCGGGGAGGTGCGGTGGGGCAGAGCCCCCTGCATCCCCTGGCGAGACGGCAGGGGCACCCCCTGCCACCCACGGGGGTCCACGGTGGAGCAGAGGCCGACCGGTGGCCTGGGGAGGACCCCACACCGGAGCAGGCAGCTGCACCCGAAGGTGTCCGGGGCTCTGGGGGCAGAAGCAGCCCCCGCTGTGGTAGTTCAGGACTGCAACACGTGGGGGGGCCCCGCAGAGAACTCATGATGGAAAAAGTTCATGGAGGACTGTCTGGTGTGAGAGGGGAGTCACGTGGAGCAGGGGAAGAATGTGGAAGGGCGTTCCCCCTCTTGAAGGAAGAAGCAGCAAACTGACTGCAACCCCCTATCCCCTGCCCCTGCGCTGCTGGGACGAGGAGGTAGAGATATCAGAACCAAAACTGAGCCCAGGAAGAAGGGAGGGATGGGGGGAAATGTTTTTCAGATGTGGTAACGCTTGGGCACCTCAGTACGAGAGAGATCTGGAGGGGCTGGAGCGAGGGCAGAGGAGGGCAACAAGGCTGGGGAAGGGCTGGAGAATAAATCCTGTGAGGAGCCAGGGAAGGAGCTGGGAGTGCTCAGTGTGAGGAGGAGGAGGCTGAGGGGAGCCCTCACCCCTCTCTGCAGCTCCTGACAGGACATTGCAGAGAGGCTGGGGCTGGGCTCTGCTCCCAGGGGATCAGGGACAGGACAAGAGGGAACGGCTGGAAACTGCAACAGGGGAGGTTTAGGCTGGACATGAGGAAAAAATGTTTCCCAGAACGAGTGGTCCAAGAGTGGAACAGGCTGCCCGGGGAGGGGGGAGTCCCCATCCCTGGGGGTGTTTAAGGGCCGTTTGGATGAGCTGTGGGGGATGTGGGGTAGGGGAGAACTTTGTAGAGTCAGGCTGAGGGTTAGACTCGATGATCCCAAGGGGCTTTTCCCACCTGAGTGACTCTGTGATTCTCACTGTCCCCTTCTGTCTCTTAAGTAGTGTTGGTGTCAGCATTTTGAATTAAAGTGACATTCTTTTTCTTCCCCTAACGAGTCTGCCTTTTGCCTGTGACCATAATGGCTGAGCCACCCCTCCCTGTCCTTATCTCAATTCCTGAGCCCTTTGTTTCCTTTTCTCTTCCCAGCGCCAGGGGGGGCAAGGGGTGAGTGAACGGCTGCGTGATGCTCAGTTGCCCTCTGGGCTCAGACCACCACAACCAGCCTGGCCAGAACAGCACAAGAAAATAGAGCACAGTCCCAGCATCCTGATGCAACCTTTGTCATGCTGTTTCACCCCAAATTTTCATACATTTTTCCGTGGCCTTTCCAGCCATCGCTGGGTCCCTATGACAAGAGTTGTGTCCTGTGCGATACCTGGGGGCAGAGCCCCCCACCTCGATGTGCAAAATGTCCCTGGGTTGGTGTTTCAGGGGTCGCTGCTCATCAGCAGGTGAACATGGTGTGTGACCCACCCGGATAAATGTCACTCGGCGTGGCCAAGGCCGTCCTTGGCAGCTGCTGCCTGGGTGACAGGATAAGCAGGAGCAAGTTGTCAGCTCAAAAATATATTGAAACGGGACCTGGATTATCCTGGAGGTGAAAAATTGCTTGAATTAGGGCAGCTGCATGTGACCACCTCCTGCTATAGATATCCTTACTGGATTGGGTCATCTCATTTCTTGTCTTTCCAGTGTTTGATGTTGGTTTTACATTATCCCTTTGCTGGGTGAGTCTCCCACAGGTTCCAGCCTTTCTACCAGCCTTCTGGTGATACCTGAGCTTGAATCTGTGTGATTCCTGCCACTGTTTCCTCTAGCCCTTGGCAAAGCCAATTCCTTCATTTAAAAGCCCTTCTTCCAGCACTGGCAAACATCTGCAGGTAGAAGAAAGGTAAAAAGCATCATCTCTCATTGCACACATCCAAACATGCAAGTGCATCACAAGTGCGTGAGCTTTTGCACACTGAAGGGGATTGTTTCTGTGTTCTCTGTGCCTTAACTCTGGCAATTATGTGCGTCAGGGCCTGGGGAATTCAACAGACACTGCGTGGTGGTGTAGGATGCTCCGGCTTCACTCAGCACTTGCACCTCCCAGGTGGAGCCCAGCCCCAGTTGCCAAGCTTCAGGAAAGCTGTAAACAATCCACGGGACCTGCGGGAACACGCTCCTCCATCTGGTGCACAGCACGAGGATGGTTTCCTCGTAGGAGCTGGACTTGCGAGGACTTCACAGCTCTCCTGGGGATCCTCAAAGCCCAAGAGGAGCTGGGCAATGGGGACACACCTTGGGGGTCTGCCGGCGGCGGGGTGCACAGCCACATCACTCACAGCATTTCCCACAAATCAGCCTGTCCTGCAGTGAATTACGGGGGGGGCTTCTCAAGGCGGGGGGGGGGATGTAAAATCTGCCCTGTACCCTCACCCACTGCAAACACCGAGGCCCTGGGACAGTATCCCAGGAGACAGCATCCTCCTCCCTGGCCCAGTGCCACACTCCTGTGAGATGAAACCTTGTCATCATCCTCTTAATGACAGAGAAATTTACATTAATTGGCTCATTAAGTGCCAGGCTGATTTTCTTAGCTGCCCTCCCCCACCTGGCATTTGGTAAAACAGGATTAGCAGGGACTAACGATTTCCGAGACACAAGATCACAGAAGCAGCCTGAGATGTTTTCAGGAGAAGGCCCCTCAGCTCGCAGGGGCCGGGGGCTGTGCAGGCTGCAGCACTTTGCCCGCGCAGGACCAGTGCCCAGATGGCTGGTGTCTGTGATCCCAGGGATTTTCAGGCAAGGCAATTGCTTTAGCTGTTTGAAGCCACAGCAGGGTGTCTAGGGAAGGATGAAGGTAATACCCAAAGTTGGAAACGGTTCAAAACCCCAGGGCTAATAACTTGCCCTTCTTTAATACCTTCTTAATATCTTCAGTGGCCACAGGCAATCAGGGTCTCAATTTTATAACCAGGAGATTAAGCCAAGATGCTGGAGTCGCTCACCAGAAGAGACCTGGGCTCGGAGAGCCGCCAGCCCTGGGGTGCTGCACTGACGGCAGCTGTGGCCGCTCCCATCCTCCTCCCCCGTGCCAGGCTGGAGCAGCATCCGAGCTTTGGGTTATTTGGGACCAGGGGCTCATTGTGCAAAGGGCTGTGCAGGTTTGTCTTCTTGTTTCTCCAGCACTGCTGCTCCGAGGGGTGGGGAAATGTCCAGCAACAACAGAAGGAGAATATTTGGTTCAGGAAAAGCAAAGGAGAAGGAAACGGGAGAGATGAGTTGTTTTTCTCACTGGTGTGTTGCCTGGCAGGCATGCTCCAAGTGCGGAGGGAAGATGATGTCCTCTGGGAAGTCAGCGAGGAGACAAAAGCCTTTTCTGCTCCATGCAAATCCCAACCCACACCTGGCACCGCATGAGCTCAGATGCAAAACAAAAGCGCATCTCGTGATCCTGCCCCTGGATCCCCAGCATGTCCCCAGCATGTCCCCAGCACGTCCCCAGCATGTCCCCAGCACCAGCTCAGCCTGCCCCGGTCACAGCTCCGGCACAGTCCCCCCGAGCAGGGGACAGGAACGTCGTGATGGATGCAAACAGGCGAGAGTGGTTTCAGTTTCTCCTGCAGTAAAAGTCTCCCAGCTTTGGATCCTGGCCAAACGGAAACGCGGTGCTGGCGCTGTGCTGGGTGCTGGCATTGCCGGGCAGGACACGAATTGGATGTTTTTCACAGTCCTAACTACCCTGGGCTAAATGAGACGGAGCCCCTGCGAGGTAACCCTGCTCCTTGGGGCTTTTTGGCGTTTGGTGATTCAACCCTCTGCAGCTCCATCAAATGTTCCCATAAAGGCTTCGCGAACAGGGGGCTGTTGATCTGCGTGGGCAAGGGCTGTTTCCTTCCTACGTGGGCTCTGCTTCCCCATTTTGTTTTACTTTGGGTTTTCAAAGGACTGAAACAATCAGATCCTCCAGGAGAGGAGGTGCTGGGCAGACACGAGCTGTCACCGGTGGCCCATGGTGGACTGTCACTCCAGGCACAGACGCAAACCCACAGGTTTGTTTGCCACCATCATCACCTTCAACCCACTAGATCATCCCACCTCTTGCACGCTGCAAACCCCAAAATGTTGTCCCCTTCACCCCAGGCTGGGACTGACCCTGGCAAGGGAGATGGTCCTGCTGGTGCCCCCACTCTGAGCGCTGGCCATCCCCCAGCCCCAGGCTGCCTTAATCCATGGCCCTACTTAGGGGTCTGGGCAAAGATTAGCTGGGAACATTCCCAGTGATTAGGGTTTAATCGCTTTGACATTCCACATCTTCTTAGACCTCCTAGGTGAGACCCCGGCAGCTGTAAATCCCCTCGGCCCTTGAGGGAGCAACAGCAAGGGCAGCTCCTGCACCACAGGAACAAGCTTTACCCAGTTCTTGGTGTCAGATCAAGCTGCTCTGGCTAACAGATCTCCTTCTGATGAGAAGGGAACAGCTATAAATAGTACAAAATGGCAGGGCTGCACCACGTATCTGCTGTAAGACTCCCTTTGTGCCACTCTGCATTAGGCTTGAAAGGAGCAGCCCACAGCAGCTGTAGCAAAGCAAACGTTATTCCATGTATAACGGCCGTACACATCACCCACGAGACAAGCCTGGCTGTCATTTAGGGACCAATTTATTTGAGTTTGAGTTTGGTTTTTTTTTTCCTGAACTGGACACTTGGCTAACAGCAGAAGCTACAAAAATTATTTTGTACATTCACAGATACATATAGAAAAGCAGGTAAATAAATACACATACACAAACACAAACAATGAGGTTCAACGCATGCACTTGGTGAGGGCTGAAATGCAAATACAAGGTGAAATCTGGGTGTTGCTTGATTTACAGGCTCTTTGCCCCCCCAGCCAGGTGGGTTTTCAGCATTCCATGCTGTTGTGGCTATCACTGTGGCTTTCCTTAGAAGACTTTAAATCCACAGCTCAGAAAATCACCTCACAACTGGGTCACCAACAGGGAC